TGTTCACCTCACTGTAGAAGGTCATAAAGGCTTCCTCGGTGCTGCCTCCGCTGCCCGAAGTCCCGCTCTCTCCTGAAGCCGCCATTTCCCCGGCCCAGCCACCACGTGACCCATCTGCGCAGGCGTCGCCCCACGTGATTCTTACAGGTCCGCCCCTCTAGCCCCGCCTCCCGTCTGAGAGGTTCTTAAAGGGCTCGCAGCCCAGCCAAGCACTTTAAACCTAGGTGGCCTTTTTAACATTTAAACGAATTACACATAACATATAATTAACCACTTTAAAGTAAATTATTTGCTTAATTTATTGTTGTTAGGTAAAAAAATAATAAAAGAAAAAGTGAATAATTCAGTGAGTTTATTTATTTATTTATTTATTTTTGAGACAGGATCTCTGTGGTCCAGGTTGCAGTCGAGTGGTGCAATCACAGCTCACTGCAGCCTCGACCTCCCAAGCTCAAGCGATTCTCTCACTTCAGCCTTCGGTAGCTGGGACTGCAGGCACGCACCACCATGCCCGGCTAATTTTATGTACTTTTGTAGAGACGGGGTCTTGCCATGTTGCCCAGGCCTCCGGAAGTACAGGAATTACAGGCATGAGCCACTGTGCCCAGTGGTCTTTAGAACATTCACAATGTTCTGCAACCACCATGTCTATCTGGTTCCAAAGTAGTTTCATCACCTCAAAAGGAGACTTAGTACTAAGGTTTTTTTGTTTTGTTTTGTTTTTGTTTGTTTTTTGTTTTGTCTAGAGACGGAGTCTCACTCTGTCACCCAGGCTGGAGTGCAGTGGTGCGATCTTGGCTCACAGTAACCTCCGCCTCCCGGTTCCAGTGATTCTCCTGCCTTAGCTTCCCGAGTAGCTGGGATTACAGACACACACCACCATCATGCCCGGCTAATTTTTATATTTTTAGTAGAGACGGATTTTCACCATGTTGGCCAGGATGGTCTACGATCTCCTGACGTCGTAATCCACTCGCCTTGGCCTCCCAAAGTGCTGGGATTACAGGCGTGAGCCACCGCGCCTGGCCAAAGAGACCTAGTACCTATTAAGCAGTTACTCCCTATTCGGCCGCTCTCCCCAGTCCCTGAAAACAAGCAATCTGTGTTTTATCTATATGGATTTACCTATTCCGGATATTTCACGTAAATGGAATTAAACAAAATATCAGGCAGGGCTGCTATTTTCTTAACTAAAATATGATCAACAAAGCCAGTTTTACTATTTCATACAAAACAAAGAAGGTTTGTTTTGTTTTGTTTTGTTTTTTTGAGACAGAGTGTTGCTCTGTTGCCCAGGCTGGAGTGCAGTGGCATGATCTTAGCTCACTGCAGCCTCCACCTCCCAGGTTCAAGTGGTTCTCCTGCCTCAACCTCCTGAGTAGCTGAGATTACAGGCACGTGTCACCACACCCAGCTAATTTTTGTATTTTTAGTAGAGATGGGGTTAGTCAGGCTGGTCTCGAACTCCTGACCTCGTGATCCACCCGCCTCGGCCTCCCGAAGTGCTGGGATTACAGGTATGAGCCACCACACCCAGGCCCAAAGAAGGTATTTTTATAATCATCAATGAGGTAGATAATCTGGCCCAATTCTCTCATCTAAAAAAGAAGAAACAGAGAAGAGAAAATGACTTAGAGAAGAGCTATAAACTTCATGAAAGTAAAGACTACTATTGTCTTGTTCACATTCATTAGATGGATGAAGGGAGGTCAAGGTTAAGCTTTCACTAGACAGAATCCTACTTATCTTTTTTTGTTTTTTGAGAGACAGTTTCCCTCTTGTTGCCCAGGCTGGAGTGCAATGGTGTGATCTTGGCTCACTGCAACCTCAGCTTCCTGGGTTCAAGCATTCTGCTGCCTCAGCCTCCCCAGTAGCTGGGATTACAGGCATGTGCCACTACTCCCAGCTAATTTATTTATTTATTTATTTATTTATTTATTTATTTATTTATTTATTTTGTGACAGTTTCTCTCTTGTTGATCAGGCTGGAGTGCAATGGCGTGATCTTGGCTCACTGCAATCCCTGCCTCCCAGGTTCAAGCGATTCTCCTGCCTCAGCCTCCCGAGTAGCTGAGATTACAGACATGTGCCACCATGCCCGGCTAATTTTTTGTATTTTGTTTTAGTAGAGATGGGGTTTCTCCATGTTGGTCAGGCTGGTCTCGAACTCCCAACCTCAGGTGATCTGCCCGCCTCGGCCTCCCAAAGTGCTGGGATTACAGGTGTGAGCCACCGTGCCCAGCCTGCTCTTTTCTACCGCATTGCACCACATTGCCAAAAGTGCAGTTATTAAGCCCATTCAACAATATGTTGTTAACAACAACAAAAAAAAAAACTAAAATATTTTTAAAAGGTTTATTCTGAGCCAATATGAGTAACCATAGCTTGGGGAAACACAGTCTTAAGAGGTCCTAGGAAATTGTGCCTGAGGTGGTCAAGTTATAATTTGGGTTTTCTTTCTTTTTTTTTTTGAGACGGAGTCTCGCTTTGTCACCAGGCTGGAGTGCAGTGGCACGATCTCGGCTCGCTGCAACCTCCGAGTCCCAGGTTCAAGAGATTCTCCTGCACGTGCCACCACACCCAGCTAATTTTTGTATTTTTAGTAGAGATGGAGTTATACCATGTTGGCCAGGATGGTCTCAATCTCTTGACCTCGGGATCTGCCCGCCTTGCCCTCCCAAAGTGCTGGGATTACAGACATCAGCCACCGTGTCCCACCTATAATTTGGTTTTTCTTGAGGGTTGCTTTTGTTTTGAGACAGAATCTTGCTCTGTTACCCAGCAGGCTGGAGTGCAGTGGTGCCATCATAGCTTATTATCATCTTGAACTCCTAGGCCCAAGATATCCTCCCAAGTAGCTAGGATTACAAGGCATGTACCACCATGCCAGGCTAATTTTGGGGGGAAAAGGGGCTAGAGATGATGTCTCACTACGTCACCTAGGGTGGTCTCAAACTCCTGGTGTCAAGTGATCCTCCTGCCTTGGCCTCCCAAAATACTGGGATAACAGGCATAAGCCACCGAGCCCAGCCCACAGTTTGGTTTCATACGTTTCAGGGAGACAGGAGTTACAGACAAAGACATAAACAAATACATGAAAGATATACATTGGTTTGGCCCAAAAAGGCAGGATACCTTGAAGCACGGGATCAGAGTTTATAGGTGGATTCAGAGATTCTTTAATTTGCAATTGGTTAAAGGAGTAAAGTTTAGTCTAAAAATTTGGAGTCAGCGGGTGGGGCGCAGTGCCTGTAATCCCAGGACTTTGGGAGGCCAAGGTGGACAGATCACAAGGTCAAGAGATTGAAACCATGCTGGCCAACATGGTGAAACCCCATCTCTAATAAAAATACAAAAATTAGCAAGGCATGGTGCCGTGGGACTGTAGTCCCAGCTACTTGGGAGGCTGAGGCAGGAGAATCACTAACCCGGGAGGCCTAGGTTGCAGTGAGCAGAGATTGTGCTACTGCACTCCAGCCAGGCAACAGAGCAAGACTCTGTCTCAAAAAAAAAAAAAAGAAGAAGAAGAAGAAAAGAAAAAAATTGGAGTCAGCAGAAAGAAATGTTTAAGATGTTTAAGACAAGGAAGTCTGTTAGCCAATACATTGGGTTGGAGTGACCTCTAAAGGTGTGTGACTTAACTGTCATATGACATAGCCTTAAGTCCTGTTTATAATTTAGTACCTTATTTACACAAAGAGCGCAGTTTGCTAAGCTTATGCTCTTTATTTCAACATTAATGCTGGTCAGTTGTTGTGCTTAAACACTAAAAGGGAGGGGACATAACAAGATGTGCTTCTGACCTCCCTTACTGTCATGGCTGGAAATTCAGTTTTTTGGGTTTTGTTTGTTTGGGCTTTTTGTTTTGTTTCGTTTTTGAGACCGAGTCTCACTCTGTTGCCCAGGCTGGAGTGTGGTGGCACGATCTCGGCTCACTACAAGCTCTGCCTCCCAGGTTGCAGCGATTCTCCTGCCTCAGCCTCCCAAGTAGCTGGGACTACAGGCACGTGCCACCACACCTGGCTAATGTTTGTATTTTTTAGTAGAGACAGGGTTTCACTATATTGGCCAGGCTGGTCTCGAACTTCACCTTGTGATCCAACCGCCTCGGCCTCCCAAAGTGCTGGGATTACAGGCGTGAGCCACCGCACCCGGCCCAGTTTTTTGTTTTGGGGGGTTTTTTTGAGACCAATATCACTCTGTCGCCCAGGCTGGAGTGCAGCGGTGGCGGGATCTTGGCTCACTGCAACCTCCGCCTCCCGAGTTCAGGCCGATTCTCCTGTCTCAGCCTCCTGAGTAGCTGCGATTACAGGCGCATGCCACCACACCCGGCTGATACTTGTTTTTTTAAGTAGAGACGGGGTTTCCCCATGTTGGTCAGGCTGGTCTCGAACTGCGGACCTCAGGTGATCCACCCACCTCGGCCTCCCAAAGTATTGGGATTACAGGCGTGAACCACCGCGCCCGGCCAGAACACTGGCACTTCTCATAACAAATGAACGCGATTTACGTATATCTAAGCCGCAGCACATTGGACGTCGGTATCCCGGACATCAGCATCCTGGACACAGCTCCCAAACCCCAAATTCCCCCATTTTATTGATGGTAGCAGGCCAGGGAAGGGAAAACTTCCTTTGGGCTTTGAATATTAACGACTTTAGGGTTGAAATCGTGGGCTGGAGGTGAACGCCACGCCTCATTCTGATGGGTCCAAGAGCCGAAATTTCGGCTTCTAGCACTCTCCTCACCCAGCTCTCCAAACTCCCCCATCATTCTTCTTTCCAGTCCTTTGGCCCTGAGCCCTTGCTAGTTGGCCAAGAATAAACTCGTCTCTTGCTCGGGATTCGCTGTGAGCTCCGGGAAGCCCGCCTCCGCTCTCCCGTGATTCGCTACTCCTGTGTTCATCCGCCACTCCGTCGACCAGATTGGGTGCTTGGCCGTCCCCGCGCCATTAGCGCGTAACGAGGTACAGCTTGCTGCGGCAGAGACGCCAGAGGTGCAGCTCCAGCAGCAATGGCAGTAACGGCGTTGGTGGCGCGGACGTGGCTTGGCGTGTGGGGCGTGAGGACCATGCAAGCCCGAGGCTTCGGCTCGGATCAGGTACGCTGCGGCAGTGTCCGCTGCTCCAGCCCCGAGGGCGGATCCCATCTTCGCTTCCCTACTTTTATCAGTGTCCCTGTCTCTCTGCAGTCCGAGAATGTCGACCGGGGCGCGGGCTCCATCCGGGAAGCCGGTGGGGCCTTCGGAAAGAGAGAGCAGGCTGAAGAGGAACGATATTTCCGGTGAGGCTCACCGGGTCCCAAGTCCAGCCCTAGATCTCCCAGGGCCTTCCAATCCTTAAACTGCCAGTCGCCCCACCCGTTTCCTTGGTGCCTTGGGCGCCCCATCCCCCAACAGAACTCCCGGGCCCCAATCTGGTATACCCTAACCCTTGATGTCCCAAGTTGCCACTTACAGGGCACTCCCAGTTCCCTGCACAACAGTTTCAGGCCCCCAAACCATTTCTACCGGCGGGTCTCCAAAACATCCCACGGCTCAACTCCTCCTTTATCATTACCATCTCCCGCGTGGAGTTCTCCTCGGGTGGTGCGAAACGCCCCCAGATTCTTCGCACAGTATCTAGATCCGACCGTCTAACGTTTGCCTCCCAGCCTGACTCCCGCGGCCCTCACCCACCTGTCACCCCCTCTACGCTCTCCTTCCTCCCCAGCACGCCTTAGCTTTGCAAGCCTGCATGCATTCAGGCTTCTCAGGTGTTTCTAGACCCCCGACTCCGCAAGAGTGAGGATCATGGGAGCTGGTCATGGGAGCTACTTAGGGTTGGACTACACCATCTCCTAAAGGCTTTTGCCCTACTCAGCCCAGCCTAGATCTGTGGATTTCCCGCTCCTGCTTAGAAGTATGGAGTGGGCTGGGCCTCCCTTTACCAGCCCTGAGTTATCTTTAACTGACTTCTGTCCACTCTGGAGAGCAGTGAGGAATTAATCTTGCTTTTGCTTGTCCTTTGGCCTTTCACTTCTGCCTTCTGTTGAGAATTATCACCATGACACCTGCCATACCGTATAGAGAGCCAAGGTACTGCTGTTAGAGACTATCTAATTGATCCCCTTCATTTTGTAGTTAAGGAAAACTGAGGCCTAAATGTGGCCAAACCAACATTGTAATCCAGTCCCTTCTTGGTACCTAAATTGAACTGCCAAATACTGCCCATGCAGGAGACCTTTTATTGGCCTTACAGCGGGCCATTCATTTCTATAGGCAAAGAAAGCTCTAGACAGATTGGAATAGGAAATGGATATTTGCCTTTTAACCACACCCCTTTGTCCCCATTTTGTTCCTTTTTTTTTCCCCCCTAAAGGGGTTCCCTGGGTTGTTCCCCTCATAAGGTATTAGGGACTTGTGTCACATCTCTCTGGAGTTTTCTATTTTAAAGAGGAATCTGAAAGCAATAAGATCTTAATGATGGAATTTAAGCCACTAGCACCAGTGAAATCATTTTGGTCTTCTTAAGATGACTACACCTCAATTTAAGATGGGTTATTCTTTCACTAGTTGAGGAGTAGAAGAGGATGACCAGCCAGACTCCCATGGAACTGGGACTCCTATTCCTTGCTTAGACATTACGGGTTATGCTTAGAGATCTCTTTGGGGTGAAGGATTGAAATTAAACCCTGAGCCACCGTGTCCTTGTAGAGCACAGAGTAGAGAACAACTGGCAGCTTTGAAAAAACACCATGAAGAAGAAATCGTTCATCATAAGAAGGAGATTGAGCGTCTGCAGAAAGAAATTGAGCGGCATAAACAGAAGATCAAAACGCTAAAACATGATGATTAAGTGCACACAGTTCCCCATAGAATGGCACATGTCACTGCCCACTTCTGTGTAGACATGGTTCTGGTTTAATTAATATTTGTCTGTGTGCTACTAACAGATGATAATAAATTGTCATCAGTGAACTGTGTTTGATGCCTTCTTCTATCTGGAAGAGATAGACGGAAAGACACTAATGGACTGCTGAAATGGATTAGAGGGGTCCCTGCATCCAGGAGCCCACAGAAACGCAGTGTGATAAGTGCTATGAAACAACATGAGTTGGGGGGATAGGTGTGACACAGACAAGGTACCCCCCCAGTCTAATTAGAGGTGTTCAGAGAAAGCTTCTTGAAGGATAAATCCCAATCTAAAGCATAAAGATCAGGAGGAGCCTGGAGATCCGAAGGAGTCATTGCTTCAAAAGATACAATTGGGCCAGGGGCGGTGGCTCATGCCTGTAATCCCAGCACTTTGGGAGGCCAAGGTGGGCGGATCACCTGAGGTCAGGAGTTCAAGACCAGCCTGGCCAAAATAGTAAAACCCCGTCTCTACTAAAAATACAAAAATTAGCCAGGTGTGGTGGCATGCACCTATAGTCCTAGCTACTCAGGAGGCTGAGGCAGGAAAATCAGTTGAACCTGGGAGGTGAAGGTTGCAGTGAGCTGAGACTGTGCCACTGCACTCCAGTCTGGGTGACAAAATGAGACTCCGTCTCAAAAAAAAAAAAATACAATTGAAAGTACCATCAGTGGCCGGGCGCGGTGGCTCAAGCCTGTAATCCCAGCACTTTGGGAGGCCGAGACGGGCGGATCACGAGTTCAGGAGATCGAGACCATCCTGGCTAACACGGTGAAACCCCGTCTCTACTAAAATACAAAAAAAATTAGCCGGGCGAGGTGGCGGGCGCCTGTACTCCCAGCTACTCGGGAGGCTGAGGCAGGAGAATGGCGTGAACCCGGGAGGCGGGGCTTGCAGTGAGCTGAGATCCGGCCATTGCACTCCAGCCTGGGCAACAGAGCTAGACTCCGTCTCAAAAAAAAAAAAAAGAAAGTACCATCAGTTAAAACAGCATTTTGCATGTTTAAAATGGTTTAGAGGAACCTAATATGAGCTAGTCATCCATGTTCTAATTTTGTAGATTGAGAGAACTAGAATTAGAAATCATGTGATTTATACAGTCACTTAGCACCTTGGCAGTAAGACTTGTGTCCAGGTTTTTTGACTCCTAAACCAAGTCTGTTAATAGCAGTAAATCAGAATTATTTCTTAGGTTATATTTTGCTTTGCCAAGTGTGTTTTTGTTTCAAATTAGACTTGAGGGCCTAGTATGACTAAATTATTATACAAACTAGTTATGTAACTCCTCTAGGCAAAAAAATTTTAGGTGACATTTGGGCCATTAGCAAAACGTTTTCAGTTCACCAGTTCAGTAGAGTATTTGCCCAGGATTGTAATGAGTTATTTCTAAGACCCTATCTATCTCACAAGGGCCTCTAGGACCATTGAGTGATAAAAGCTTGGAGAAGTTGCATTGACCTTGTCCATACAGACAAAATACTAGATGATTTGACCTGCCCATGAAACTGAACACAGCCAGGTGTGGTGGTGTGTGCCTGTAGTTCAGCTACTTGGCAGTCTGAGGCAAGACGACTGCTTGAGCCCAGGAGTTCCAGACATGCCTGGGCAGCGTTTTAACCCCATCTGTTTTAAAAAAGAAAAAAAAAAAGAAACTCTAAACTTTGAATTATAATGATTATAATGTTGCTGAATCTCAGTTCTTACTGAGGCCTCAGGAGTGCCTTGCAAGTGGCCAGCAACAAAATAACCTGAAAAGATGAAGTTCAACAAACAATCATACTAAATCAAATGCCTTTTATTTTAACATTATTAACAGTACAACACTTGAAAAGTTTAAAAATTGGAAACAAGTATTAGCAAACATCCTTCATTTTGCATATTTGTAACCAAAAAAAGGTATACAAAATCCCCTAATTGCCTTACTAAGAGTGATGTTCCTGAATTGTTTCTTCAGTAAAGGTGTACCATAGGCTGTGTGCGATGGCTCATGCCTATCATCCCAGCACTTTGAGAGGCTGAGGTGGGTGGATCACCTGAGGTCAGGAGTTCAAGACCAGCCTGGCCAACATGGCAAAACACCATCTCTACTAAAAAACAAAAATTAGCCGGGTGTGGTGGTGGGCACCTGTAATCCCTGCTGCTAGGGAGGCTGAGGCAGGAGAATCATGAACCTGAGAGGCAGAGGTTGCAGTGAGCTGAGATTGTGCCACTGTACTCCAGCCTGGGAGACAGAGTGAAACTCCATCTCAACAACAACCAAAAAAAGATTAAATAGGCTAATTTAAATATATCTGAACTTTGTGAAAATGGTAACTCATGAACTTTTTGTTATGATATACCTGTGGTTAATTTTTCTATCATGCTGCAGTAAAAGCAAGATGTAAATACTGAGTAATGTCACAAACATGTTGGAATCCTAAAAGAATTTATGTGACATGAGCCAGTAAGCACAGTAGGAATAGCACAGGTCATAGGTGGTTCTTAGAATCAGGATAATTTGGAAAGTACTACAGCAGTGGTTCCATAAGCCAGCAGTGTCAGCAGCACCTGGGAACTTGTTAGAAATGCAAATTCTCAGCGGGGCGTGGTGGCTCATGCCTGTAATCCCAGCACTTTGAGAGGCTGAGGTGGGTGGATCACCTGAGGTCAGGAGTTCAAGACCAGCCTGGCCAATATGGCAAAACACCATCTCTACTAAAAATACAAAAATTAGCCGGGTGTGGTGGTGGGCACCTGTAATCCCAGCTACTCGGGAGGCTGAGGCAGAAGAATCGCTTGAACCTGGGAGGCGGAGGTTGCAGTGAGCGAAGATCACGCCATTGCACTCCAGTCTGGGCAACAGAGTGAGACTCCATCTAAAAAAAAAAAAAGAAATACAAATTATCAGGCCCCACCACAAACCTGCTGAAACTGGGGGGTTTGACTCAGCAATCCTTTAACAAGCCCTCCAGTTGGTTCTGTTACATATGCACTGAAGTTTGACAATAATTGTAGTACAGGTAGTTTCTCATGGAATCTGCTGGCATTTTTGGGTAAACACTTTTATAAAGACAGATTATTAGGTATAATAAAAGTATATAGTTTAATGTAGTTCATAATATGATTGTGACTTTAGAATTTAGAAATAAATGGTTCTTGTATGGAGCTTGTTAACATTTGAGAACATAGCATTACACAGAATACAATTTGGGAAATACTTCACTTGTATAATATGTTTATGCCTTAGTCAAAATTATTTTTGTCCTCCACCTCCCACTGCTTCACTTGACTAGCCTAAAAAAATAAAAAATAAAATCCTCTTTGTTTACATGTAACAGAAACCAACAATCGCTGTCTAAAGGGGAAGAAAAAGAGTAATTTACTGTAAATTAAATTGTCTCACAGAATCTCAAGAAGACTTCTGCAAACTAGACTCAGGAAAGAAAGGGACCGCAGTAGTCAGAGGAGTTCTGTGAACTACAGGAGCAGGTCTGTCTAAGAAACTTCCAAACCCTCTGTGTCAGAATCGTGCTGTCTGGGCTTGGTGCAGTGGCTCCCCCTCTAATCCTAGCACTTTGGGAGGCCGAGGCAGATGGATCACTTGAGCCCAGGAGCTTAAGACCAGCCTGGGCAACATGACCAAACCCCGTCTCTGCAGGAAAAAAAAAAAAAAAAAAGCCAGGAGTGGTGGTGCAGGCCTGCAGTCCTAGCTACCTGGGAGGCTGAGGTTGAAGTGAGCCATGATCACAGCACTGTATTCCAGCCTGGGCAACAGAGTGAGACCCTGTTTCCAAAAAAAGAAAAAAGAATCATTGGGGTGCTTTTTATATTTATATATATATATATATTTGAAAGAGTTCTATAGGATTTTATGCAGTGAAGTTATTTAACAATCGCAGAATTAATGGAGCACTTTAAAATTATTTGTTCATTAAATCTCATATTTTTAGCAAATAAATCCATTCCATTAGTTTAATTTTATAACCAAAGTAACCGAAGCAGGGAATTGTGAAACAACTTTCACAAGGTCGTATGATCAGGTTTGCGCTGATCAAGGTCTTCAGTACTCTTGCTCCTACAACCTTGAGTTGCAGTTCCAATCCAGTGCTTCAGCTGCCTATTAGCTCTCTCCTCAATGTGGGGAAGTGGGAGGTACATGGCTACCAGGGGATGGGTGGTAAAGGCAAGGGCTCCTGGAAGTAAATATAGAAATGCCAGTGGTTGGTGTTGGCATTAGCTTTTTGGCTGTGACATAAACCCCATCAGCATGTCCATGCATGCCTAGATGATGCAAACACATGTTTGCAATAGAGCCTAGTTTGAGATTTTCACGACAGTAAGTTTAAAGTTGTAATTCTCAGGCCGGGCACAATGTCTCATGTGTATAATACCAGCACTTTGGGAGACCGAGGCAGGCGGATCACCTGAGGTCAGGAGTTTGAGAGCAACCTAGCCAATGTGGTGAAACCCCATCTCTACTAAAAATACAAGAATTAGCCAGGCATGGTGGCACACACCTGTCCAGCTACTTGGGAGACTGAGGCAAAAGAATCACTTGAACCGGGGAGGTGGAGGTTGCAGTGAGCCGAGATTGCACCACTGCATTCCAGCTTGGGCGACAGGGAGACTCCAACTCAAAAACAAGTAAAATAAAATAAAATAACAAAGTTGTAGTTCTCAGCACAGGTGGCACATTGACATATGTGGAGAGCTTTAAAACCTCTGCAGCTGAGCGCGGTGGCTTACGCCTGTAATCCCAGCACTTAGGGAGGCTGAGGCGGGTGGATCACGCGGTCAAGAGATCAAGACCATCTTGGCTAACATGGAGAAACCCCGTCTCTACTAAAAATACAAAAATTGGCCGGGTGCGGTGGCTTAAGCTTGTAATCCCAGCACTTTGGGAGGCCGAGACGGGCGGATCACGAGGTCAGGAGATCGAGACCATCCTGGCTAACATGGTGCACGGTGAAACCCTGTCTCTACTAAAAAATACAAAAAAAAACTAGCCGGGGCCGGGCGCGGTGGCTCAAGCCTGTAATCCCAGCACTTTGGGAGGCCGAGACGGGCGGATCACGAGGTCAGGAGAT